GAGCCTAGGTGCGAAATCAAGCCTTCGCCATCCCATGGCCGCGCCTCATGCCACTACGCCCCTCGAATTTGGCATAAACAAATTGTTAAGGCATAACTGGTTTCAGGTTAAGGTCGCTGCTCATGCCTACGTTGCTGACGATCTCGTATCTCTTTATTTTCCGAAATAACAAGGAAGTGGTGGATAGGAAGTGAACATAATAATCTGCAATATATCACCTGCTGTGCAAAAAGTGACGTCCGTAAAACCTTCATATATTGTCCTGCCAGTAAGCTACTGCCATAACACCTACATTTTCAACAAATAACAAACGCTGACGTCTGATGGTGCAAATTTTTTGGATTACGATATGCTCATAATGGATCCTTGTGATATCCCATGAACTTCCCATCTTGTCTCTAAACAATCAATGTGGCGGAGCTCATGATTTGGAGTTATAGAGCTCTTTGAAGCTTAATCTATGCTTATAAAGCGAGATGTTTTTTGGCGTTTGTGAATTTGATTCGATTTAATCATGACACCTGAATTATATTAACTCTTAATGGTTCCGTTTGGCGCTTATTATCAATTCTTTTTCGATTTCCGATTCACCTTTTAATTTCCAAACATTCTTTCCAAAGTGGTCTTAAAAGTTTCAAATTCTTCGGCGAACACAAGCTCGACGTTATTTTGAAATATGTTTTCATTGATTCTTCTAGTTTACAAAATTGTTAGTTTATATCCAGATGAAGCAAATTCTACATGATTTTGATCAAATTTGATTTTTTCTCACTTTCACATCCATATGCACCTGTGCAGCTTCAAAGTCCAGTTACAGTACAGCAGTAACTACGCTTTGCTAAAAACAAGTTTTATAGTATAATCTCTCTACAAACATACCTATCAATCAGCAGTCGAGATGTAGGTACGCTTTGAAAATTTCGTTAGGAAAATTTGTTTTGTTGCTATTCTACACCATGAAAATAATTCAGATTCTAGTGATACTCTTTGATTCAATTGGCTTGGAGGCTGGAAGGCGGGGCTTCGTGACCTAATCAAGGCTACGTAGGATCAGAGAGCACGCGCTCGGGAGAGACGCAGACTGCGTAGCGGGCGCGAGCTGCCTGTTAGGTCACAAATCCCCGCTTCCAGCCGCCAAGCCAGCTGAATCATAGGTTACTTACTGTGATGCTTGCAGGGCCCACTATTCCTGCACACAATGGTTTATATTGAGTTTTGCCGAAAGTATTGTTAATTTTTTCGAATGACTATAAAACTATAATGAAGCCTGATTGCGTTTGAACATGCATTCGAACAGCATTTTCTTCTCTTCCTGACGTTTACAATTTCGAATAATCTACAGTAGACTTCTTGATAGGACCAAAAATCCTCACCCTTCATTTCTACTTTCAAAGTTCGGTTACTTCTCAAATTTTTTGAAGTTTTGAAGTAAATATGGTGCAAATAGTGCAAGTTTTGGACTATGCTGTAGTGCTTTTACATTCTTCTAATCTGCTGCCCGGATCAAATCATCTCTTTGAAAATGTCGATTTTTTGGTGATGTTGTAAAACACACACCTGCAGCAGAACCAAGTAAGGTCCAAAGTTTCGGGCAATTGAAACTTGATTGTTGTTGGACATCAATTGTGCAAGATGATCAAGTCCGATTCGCTCTAAAGAATCACTATTTTCAGATATTTTTTGTGCCGCTACACGTGCTCAAAAAGCAGTTTTTCATTAGGCAGTAACTAAAGACTTCAAAAAGAGTATGTAATCCAAAATAAGTAAAATATAAAAGGTTAATTCAAATAACGGTTACCAGCCTTTACTGAATATGGGAAGAATTTTTTTTTAAGATTGGAGAAAATTCGGCGTCACTGCTGAACTTCTCAAAGAGCCTGTTATAAAATCGCAGGGACAGCGCGGACCAGAGGTAGCTATTAGAAAGGGATATAAATTTGAATCGGTCTACACCTAAGTGTTTCGTCGATCAATGTTTTGTGAGTTTAGTAACCGATCAAAAAACGGAGAAAACTTTTGGCACAACCTAATAACTTTGTGAGGCATCTTTGCTCAAACACATGCCATTTTACAATCTCATAGGCTGGTTTCCAAAGATTGTAACGTGAACTTTTTGCACTCAAGTCAAATGTCCTATGTGTTGCTATTTTGGAAAGGACACGATCTGAGTGTAAACTCAAGTAATGACTATGATTTGTTAAGAAGTTATGAGTAATTTCCGAAAAGATAAAGTTGTTGTACTGTCTTAACTCATGTGGTTCTCTGACATTACGCTTTCTTATGTGATTAAAAAGAGGTTATTTTCACTGACTTTGAACAAGAAAGAGCAAGCCATTAAGTATTTTCCTATGAAGTATGAAGTATTTTCCTGCGAACCGAGACACTTAATGCACTTACTAATAGTAGCAGATGTCTGTTTTTACTAAGTGATGAAAATTTTGTGCGAATGAAAATGACTCTGCTTTTGCACAGCGGCCCGGATGACCCGACGAGAAGTGAAGTGATTCAAAGACTATACATGTTAGCACAGTATAGTTCATGTGCTCATTATAAAGTCTTGCAGATCCCCCTATCAACTTGAAATTGGCATGAAAATGAAGTGTTTTCAGTAAAATTTTTAGCTAATATGGCAGCATCGTTCAGATGCGTTTAGAGGCAGCTTCCACCCAAAATTTCGTCTTCCATGTTTTCATTATCGAACCTTTTCATGGTGCTGATTTCGCATATGAGGTTCAAAATAACAGGAAGCTCCGTAATTGCCCTTATCTGGAGCCTTATTTTGGCAGACTTGGACGAGTCCCCTGGCGCTAATCGCGTCCCAACAGGAAACCTCGTCGTACGCAGCAGTGCCACATCACAAATGGGCGCCATCTAAATCTACTTAACCGGCTGCGCGGGCGGTCGCGTGGCGCCCTCACCGCGTGTCGGGACCTAGGGCTTGCTTGGCGCTAGCTTTCATTGTGCTTGAGCTGCTTGTTTCTACTGAGTGAAAAGAATGTTCAAAGACTTTTCGAGCAGAGTTTACTTTTCATTTTCATATAGCGCGTTTTTTGACGCTCATAAATTCCCAGGGACAAGCAACATAATCAAAACTTCACACAGTTGTATAAATACTCGATGCCGCGATTGTTAGTACTTGGACTTGTTTGTAAGTGGATGTTTCTCGAAAAAGACACAGGCAGTAGTTATGCTTAACAGAAAGCCTTTCTCTTTCAGCTTTGTTTGGAATTTGCATCTTAGATGTTGTTATTGATACATTTTCCACCTCCAAGTATGCTCTTGTCATTCATATGTGTTTAGCGTGAGTATCTATATAGCGTTTCACTGACTAATAAAATGAATATCTATGTCAGTGTGAGAAGTAGTACCAATATCAAAACTAACTGCCCACTTTCTTTTCAACAAGCGCGTTGGGAAAGAAGGGGACATGTCTAAGATTATGAGGCTTAGATTCATTTCTTTCTTTTCTCATGAGCTAAACAGCGAATCATTCGAATAGAGTTAGCACAAGCTCGACTTTATCACAAATTTACTAGTCTACAGCCAATGGTAGCCTCAACGGATGCCCAAGTTGATACTCTGAAGGCCAGAGTGCGAGGAAATAGCAAGCTTGAGATAATAGATATCGCCCAAAACCCCTTTCTCTTTCAACGTGCAAGAGAAATTTCAACTTGCAAGAGAACATTTTCCCGGCAAACTACAAGATATTATGAACGTTTTTCATGGAATTTGGGCGAATCCCATGAATATAGCGGGCGGAGCATTTGCAGACATATGAACACGTTAAAAACTTGTTGAATCCCTATATTTGAATCTTTATTTTAAAGCAACTTTTCGTTCTGTCTAGTCATCAAGAACCGCCACGTCTACCTATATGTTATCAGGCGTTGGCAATATGCTCCGCCCGCCGTATTCTTGGGAGTGAGTAGACGATATAAAGGAGGTACTGTGACACAATAGAGCTCATTGTTCGAATTTCTGGCAGATCCCCACTAAGAAAAAGCGTCCATTTGCATGAGCTAGTAAAGACTCGACAAAGACAATCATGTCCTGCTGTGTTGGTCCTATTTGAGACAAGGTATTGAATGAGAGAAGAAACTAGCAATTCGGGTAGTAGTGACGTCCAGCTTCCTTACCTACCTCCAGCTAAACAGTTCTTCGAGACCTTTGACTGGAAAAGGTACACGTCTCATTACTAGTGAAGCTGTCAACACAGCGAACCGTACTGAAGCGGAAACCTTTTTCATATATTCAAAATCTCCAAGCGTCGACGCTGCCAGCAAGTGAGCGAGCCCTAGGTCCCGACACGCAGTGATGGCGCAGCGCGACCGCCCGCGCAGCCGGTTAAGTAGATTTAGATGGCGCCTCACAAATGCGTCTCAACGCTACTTGTCATGCCAGAACACGTTACGGGACAACCATGGTGGGTGGAGCGCAAAAAAGGGGCGGAGCGCAAAGAGGATCCAGGTCCATTTCTCCTTTTGTAGGCAACGTTAGGGAATCGGATCAACGCGATTGGTCTACCTTTGAGGCCTGCTAGTAGGATAAGTAGTAATTTGGGGTGAACGGATTTTGGGTGGACGCTGCCTTTAAGAAGTCAGAAATATGTCACTTTGTACAGAAATCTGGACTGTTCCAAAAAGCAATCCGCATCATCTTTTCATAGGAAAAGTAAGAGAAGAATTCGCTAATGCGGCTCAACTTACTCCACCTTGGCGGTTTTGTAAGACTTGTTTCCTTTTTGAGATTTTCTAAAATCGGTTTCTCCTATTCTTCAAGCAAAACGTAAAACTCCTCATAGACTGCCCAAAGGAAAAAGTGCTTGAGTAATAACGAAAAACATCTAGGCTGTGCTCTTTCAGATCAGTACAACTTCCCAGACATCACCGTATACTTTCGTAACTCAATTATGTCACATCAAAACTTCTCGTGTTCTGAGTCTTCGCTTAGTTAGCTTCACGTAAATTAAATGTGAACAATCATCTTTGCTTTGCAGCAAAATGGGTTGCCCCTTCAATGGATCACGAGTCACATTTATGGAAATGGCAGAAGAAGATGCGCAAGCCGGAACAAACAAGGTTGCACTTGGTCAAGGAGTTACGTATGGGCAATACCTGCAAGTTGGTATAAAAGCCCTATTTTCGAAGTTGATTTTTGTGTAGAGCGATGGAAAGAGAGGATGAAAATAGGGTTTCTCAAAATCAGCTTATTTCAGCTCGACAAACTTCTCGACTGCCAGAAATTATTGTCCGAAGAGCAGGGTAATCGTGTGAATGACGAGCATCTCTTCATCATCATCCATCAGTCATACGAGCTTTGGTTCAAACAGATCATCTTTGACATCGATATCGTTCGAATGCTGCTAAACCATACAGTGCGTTTCTATCTTCCATATCTTCTGATACCGCGAAATATTGAATAGCATAAAACTAAAAAAATCTGAGCGAAAACAGTAGTGGCTTATGTAAAATCATTTAGCCTAAAATCCCATAGATAAGAGCGGTTTAATTTACCGGTGAAAAATGAATTGGAATGAAATTGAAATTGAATGCAGTCACCCCTCTAACTTGATGGATGGATAAAAATCGGAGAAGAAGTTTAGAAGAAGCTCCGCCCTTCAACTCTAAACCCCTCCCACTTAATAAACAATTCATATAGAAAAACAGCGATTTCAACGGAATTTCGGAATTTCTATATGAATTGTTTATTAAGTGGGCGGGGTTTAGAGTTGAAGGGCGGAGCTTTCTTCTGAACTTCTTCTCCGATTTTTATCCATCCATCAAGTTAGAGGGGTGACTGCATTCAATTTCAATTTCATTTCAATTCATTTTTCACCGGTAGATTAAACCGCTCTTATCTATGGGATTTTAGGGTATACAAAAGAAGTGTTTAGTATTTTGTAAAAAGCATAATAGAGCAAAAAAGTGTAATCATTACTCTAAAACAGTCTACTACCCGAACTCACTCGGTAGCCTGTAACAGCCTCATTAATGTTGATTGCCCAACAAACTTCCCCAATTCTTGACTCTTTTGCTCCCACCGTTCCCTGTGGAAAAGATCTGCTACTTAAAAAAACGTCTAGATTCTTAATATTGTTAAGTTCTAAATCCATCTGCACATCTTATGAAGGAGCCCACCGTTTGGAGCATATTTTAAACAAAGCAGACTGAGACAAATATGCTTGGAAAACTAAAATCACTATTTTATTTTATAGCTTTATAGCAGTGGTCATTCATATATCATAGATTGTGGATGAGACGAAAACATTACGAATTGTATCCGGCCTTGATCGAACAGTGCGTATCCTCAAACTGCTCGTCGATCAGATAACAATTCTTGATACAATGAGTCCCTTGGATTTCGTCGATTTCAGGTGAGTAGCATTTGCACATAATAAAAGCAAAAGCGGTGACATGCACACAATTTTTTCGTCCGACTAGACTTTAGATGCATTGTTACAGAAAATACCTCACGCCTGCATCGGGCTTCCAGTCATTGCAGTTTCGACTCTTGGAAAATAAAATGGGAGTGCGCCTGGAAAGAAGAATAAAGGTGTGTTTATAAACTATACGTTACAAATACCTCCACTCATTTTTTGAACAAATGCATCTGGAAAATGTGGAAATGAGCTCTATAACATCTATGGGTTTAATCGTTTTTTTCCTGAAAATTGAATCGACTGCAGGTGACAGCCAAGTTAATTTTTCAAGTCATAGTCAAGAGAAATAGCCTGAGTTTTCGATAAGAGTAATTTCACGAAGTTGGTTTTCGATCTGCTAGTCCAAAAGGTGAGCCCGAAACTGACCTGAAATAGGGTATAATCGTATTCATAACTCCCTTTTCTGATTTGAAAACGCCACCATTGTCAATCATAACCCTTACTTAAGTCAAAAAACACATGCTCAGACCTTTTTTCGACCGAAATGCAGCATCAATCGAAGGCAAAAATTGGATCTTCCTATGACTAAGTATAAAATTTTCGTAAAATTTATAATTTTGAAATTGTGAGTTTTTTGCAACTGTTTCTAGCTCGTTTTGTTAATAAGCGAATTAAAAATGTTTATTTCAGTACAATGCACAACATTACAAAAATGTGTTCCTGAAAAAAGAAGACGTACAAGCCGTAGAAGAAAGTGAGCATGAACCTTCTTTATTGATGCTTATACAGGTTTGCAGAGCTTCGAGTCTCAATCTCACAATCTGTTTTTTCCTCTCTACGATCCAAGCTAAGCCATTTTTAGAATTGGCTTGCAAGAACACCAGGACTCAAAGAAACTGTCATAGATGGTGAAGTAGACGAAGGTTTCTGGACAAAGTATGAGCGTGCAGTTGAGAGATACTTGAACGACTTATATGAAGAGGCTATGGTAAGTATGAGTTACCGTATTTTTTGGGTATCACTGGTCAGTGTTAGTATAGCTATAGAAAATGCGAGAGCTGTGTCTTGGTTTTATTGTAACACATTTGACGACAATATGATAGTTCCTCAATCGTAGGACTGTGACTTTCCTAAAGCTCAATTACTGTCATAGATGTCTAAAAATTAGTAAGCCCCGAGCAGACTTAAGAAGAGTTGTTTCAGAAAGAAACCCTTCCACAGAATGTTCATGATCAGCTATTGGCTGAGTACTACAAAACAAAAGATTCGTTCGCAACAATCCTTGACCCAAAACAACATGCACAGCAGATTCTCAATGGTATGTTACGGTTTTGCTTTCTTTTTATACAGGTTTTCGAGCCAATTTCGGTCCAAGTGACTGATCAAAAATCAAAATCACTTTGGTAAGATATTAGGGTTCCGGGAGCTCAATGTTGCTGCAAATTTGAAAGTTATATCTACCACAGCGGTGGTCTTGCGAGAATAATATTGCGAACACTACATCTCATAAATACAAGACGAAATGTAGAATTTCAAATGCTTAATGTTCTTAGGATATTTTGGGGCGTACGATTTTTTTACAGAAAAGTTCGTTTTTGACTGCTATCAGGTTTTAGCTCAAAACTTTATGCGAAATACGATTTCTGCGGAGCGGTGATAGCCATCTTGTAGAGATTGCTTTGCTCTGTCGAATGGTTGCTTGATCCACTTCAATTGAAAGAAAGTTACAAAAAGACGACGATTGTAGCAAAAACGGTAAAAAAAATTATGGGACAATCTAATATATTCCTAAGATCGGAAAAGATATATTGTGTAACTGAGATTTTTGCCTTTTACCGTGTACCTAAAATTACGAAATCTTTAAAATTCGAGTATTGAGTATTGAGTATCGTTTTCGTGGTCGATTTGTAATGAAAACCCGTGTGCAGATTTTTTTGTGAAAGATTGTGAATTTTCGGGGTTGCAGCGCGATAACACCCGAAAATGATATCTGTGGGTCTGAAAATAACTTTTTTTTGCTGAGAAGTAAGGCCAAACCGAATGTGTACCAAAGTGCTATGGCATGATAGCACTTGCAAGTATAATATTTTGCTCAGTTGTTTATAAAATAGAGTTGATGAGGGTTGCTTTTCAAATTTTCAAAGAGCTTTAGCCTTGCAAAAAAGAAAAACACCCTTTTGTGCAAACGATGATGCAGAGTTGTTTCATTCCAATCACGTGCAGGGATGGAATGCCAAGCATTGCATGTGATTGCACTTGTGTCTCGAAGAGATGCACAACATTGTTAAGACGGTCTATCAAAAATAATCTTAGGTCGCAAACACAGCTGTATGTGCAGGTTTCGACACAAGAGTAATGTTTGCATAGTGTTAGTAGGGCAATTATCAAGAAAAATCACTGTAATGGAATTTACTGGTGCATAGCGTATCTTGATCAGCATTGGTTAGGTTGATGCACGGTTCTTACACCAAAAGAAAAGAAATCGTTTCGAAAATACTTGAACAAACCAGTCACAATTTACACAATATGCTCTTTTATGTCTGTTAAAGGTAATAAATTATAATTCATTCTAACCAGTTTGGAAAAAAATCTTTAAGTCCTTTCAAAAAGATTATAACTCATGACTGTTGGTGGAGCGACCGATCACTATCAACTTTTTTGTCAAAAAGAGTTGATCATAAAAGCAAGACCAGAAATAAATTTGTATTTCAGTAGAATTTTTAGCATTTTTTGCGACAAAAATTTAAAACTCGTTTTTTGGATATTTCTTTACATCCGTTGCGGCGAACAAAGAATTTTGATATAAGAACATGCAAAGAACGCAAGATTTACTCTACATATAAAACTGAAAGATTTCGTTACTGGAGAATTAACGAAACTTCTAAGATTTTGGTGTAAGATATGCATCGGCCTAAACAATGCGATTTTTGGTGTGGTTTACGGTTTTGATGAAAGGCGAAAAAGGTGTGAGGACTCTAAGAAATTATAGCTGGATGAATGCTTTAGTTACTTTAATCACAAAGAGGACCATTTCAATCAATTTTTCAAACTATCATAGAGATATATATATCCTATGTCTTCATAACTTGATTTCCGGCAAAAGAGTTTCCAAACTTTTTTGATAGAATGTACAGTAATTACTGGACACATAGAAATGATACTAGTTAGGTTTCAACACATTTATGTCCAGCGTGTTGGTCCACCTCCTTTTCGCAAAACGACCGAAATAAAAAATTTTGCAACACTTTCAGAAATTCTATAAGCACCAGTTCCGACTCTACTGTTGTAAGTTAAATTGATGTTGTAGGTACACGACTGCTATCTCACGATGCTATGAAAGGTGCCTTGATGATCTACTTTTACAGGTATGATTTTTGATCTTTTCTGTATGATAAGCACCACTCAAGCTAGATTTCCAGGGATATGCCTCGTTTCTCACAGCCTTATCAAATACTCACATACCTTATGGACATTGATAGTTTGTTCACAAAATGGAGATGTAAGTGCACATTCCGCTCTGATGTTTAACATTAGAAAAATATTTGTTAAGACAATCATGTGATTCTCGTGCAACGAATGCTTGGTAGCAAACAAGGAACTGGTGGCAGTTCAGGTTACATGTACCTGAGGAGTACTGTAAGGTAGGACACTGATATTTTTCAAGATTTTCTATTACTACTCATCTTTTTAGTGACAAGTACAAAGTGTTCCTTGACCTCTTCAACTTATCAACATGGCTTATCCCCCGAGAGTACATTCCTACGTTATCCCCAAGAATGGTGAAGACATTGTCAGAGCATTCAAATCTGAATACATCAAATATGTTGTCCGAGACCGAGTGATTATGGGTTATATTACTGTAAAATACAATAAATATGTATTAGAGCTTTTGAACGATCACTGAAGGAAAACTGACATAGTAGTATGCATCTAGATCTCCTGCATATCGTGTCATTTGTAACTGTGTAAGTGTCGGCACCACATGCTCGCTACTTATAATTGTATCAACCTCTCTTGATCTAATTGGATATGATTGATGGTATCCATTTCAACGCTTTATGAATAGCGGATCAGCTGAGGAATTACTAACGAAGGTGCCGTCGGTTGCCGCAGATGGAGTGCAGACTTACACATCAAGTTAGGTTGTTCGGAAAATAATGTCGCATACCATCCTAGCGCGATAGAGTGACCACAAAAAACATCGAGCGGGGTATCATTTGAGCTCTACAAGGTAGCTGACAAATCTCTGCGGAAGTCTTGCTCCACCTGCAGTTTGACTCCAGAATATAAACATTTTCAGATACCCAAAAATTCTTATCTCCGTCCATAGACGTCTTACTTGTCTAAAGCTGCAAATTTATGGTTATACTCCCAAAGGTTCCTACGACAAAATCAACTATTTGAGAGAAGCTCAGGATTGCTTCGGCAAAAATATGCCAAATTTCGTTTTCTCAATTTCCAACCATGAAAAAATTGCGAAAGGTGCAAACGAGTGTCTTGTATAATGAGTCTATGCGTGAGCAAGTTCGGGATTCCCAGGACGTTTCCAAACGAGGATACGATTATTTTCGTCTTTTTAGATCTTTCCTGCCTCATGAAATTTGGCTCCAAACTTCACGCAAATCAAACCTGGCGCGAAAGCTCGAGCTTCATTTTGTAGAGCTTGTTTTGATTTATAGGTTAGTATCTCATTTGCTTACTTTCGTGCTCACGCTGCCGCGATATTGCATGATGAAACACGATGCGACACTATTTTCCGGACAACCTTATATTTCTACGAAAAAAAAATTCGAATAGGTAAGTTTCGATAATGATTTGAGTTTTACACTTCAAAGTTAGATCCACATCTTCTCAAATCTCTCACCTTATGATAACACAGCCTGAATTTGGTCACGGGTATACGTAAAAGCTTTTGAAATTCATCTTTTCAGTGTGAACGCTTGCACAGTGACTGATATGAGATTAGCACAGCCTCGGACTGATATTGTGAAATCCTACTTCGGTTGTTTCTGATATATTGTAAAGTCACTTGTGACGAATATGTGAGCCCGCACACTACGCGGCATCTGACGACCCCTTTACTAATAATTCTTCAGTAGAAGATTTTCTGGCGCAGCAAACTTTGGAAATGTGTATTACTATTTGATACATACCCAATCAAACCAAAATAGACAATCGGAAATGAACAGGTTTTAGGTTTGCAGGTCAATAGCGCGTATAATGTGCATTACGCTCAGTAAGTTGCAAATGACTTGAGAATACAGTCGTATCATTTCATATGATCATGTGTGTCATTGCACACACTGTCCACCTTTGCCCATCCTGGATTCTCGGAGGAGAGAGCCCTTCTGCTAAACGTTTTCTATATGCTCTCACTGTCTTCTTTCCTTTTCAGGAACTGGTCATCTCAAAATGATGTAAGCAATAACAGTCTCTTGCGTTTTAACACATTGACGACAACGCAAATTTGTAGTTGTCTGCCTTTTGGGACTGAGGCTTTTCACGAGCCAGACAACATTTTTCAAACAAAATACAGGATACTGCCATTTACAGTAAACCTACAGTAGCTCTGAGAAGCTGATAAAAAAGATAGAGGTTGTTTTTAGATCCAGCGCAAAAGAACACTCCTGAAATGAGTTTGTTCCAAGATAGCCATCATTTTAACGAGATTCAAGCCCTAAGCGGTCCCACGCGGTAGTCGTTGCTTGACACGGTCCTCAATGTTTTAAAATTGCAGTTCCAAGATGAGGATGCCAAAGATGGTGTGTGCAATGCACACATAATTATATGAAATGATTCGACTGTAACTATGTGCTTTCTGCGCAATGACAATGGGTGCATAGTGGATACTGAGAGTTAATACAACCAATACGAATAAACATGACAACAGCCGTTTAGCCAAAAGGATAAAATCTTTTTCAAAATCGAACTGAGTGAGTTGCTCAGCAGAAGGCGAAGAGAATGAGGACTTGGTGATATGCGAATTTTATGTAGGCTATTTCACCTTCATAAAAGAATAACTCTAAGCTCAAAACACGATTCCAGTGTTGCTAGTGGTAATTTGTAAGATTATAGCTTTTACACTGTTGAGGCGATAAGACATCACATGTTGCATTCATGTCTGCTTATCCTCGGCAATGCTAGAGTGAAAGTTGTGAAAAAGGAAGGACGCCCTGGTAGCACTTATAAGATGCAGCAAAAATCTGCGCCCACTTATAGTCGGTCGCAATTCGTGAGGAACGCGATAGTTCATTTGATATGAATCAGTCTAATTCATTGCTCAGAACACAACTATTTACTGCAAAGAAAGTGTACAAAAGCAAAGTATTAGTTATATGTGTAAAAGGTACAAGACTAAGACAGCTTTAAATCATAAAAATATTTTTGCGATCGGAACCAAATGTCATACTATTTTTCTAATGATAAAATCAAATAACATTGAGTTCTCCACTAAATGCTAAAGAGATTTGTATAGTGAGCGTTCTTCCATCACTGACTGAGTTGCATGGAGTAACGACTGTTCACTAACCCGCAAGACATAATTGTCTGAAAATGTGATTAAGTTGTTCATGGTCCCTTCGACGGTAACTCTTAAGCGACAGCTTCGCGCTCCTACATATGGAACATGTCAATTTTCGAAAGTAAAACCTGTCTAAATCAGGATTGAACCAAGGTTTACATGATGCGAATCCGGACCCAGTTCTTTTCCCAGATTCTCTCCGGAGTAGGAATATATGTTGGTTGTTTACAAGGATCCAAAGGCTAATGCCGAACGAAGGCACAGAAGCAGAATCACCCAAGCACATCTACGGTCGAGTTTTTGTTATTCATTTCATTCCATCCCTCCGGCTATACTTTGCGCTTGCACATGCAGCTCAAAACTCTAGCTCTGCCGGCGCGTCCCAAGCCAACGTTCTCGCTTGATTTCGTCTGGACTGTACAGATAGTTGAGTCGCCTCCATTATAGCGTCTGGTATACGTCGGTAGACGTCAACCATGCGGAAAATCGCGAAATGACTTCATGAGACTAACGACGCAGGCACTTTTGTTTACACTACCTCTAACAAGAATAACTCGAAACAAGACTCTTCAACTTCCTTTATGGAAGGCTTCACTTGCAAGAATGATCATTACAGTTTTTATTTGGGATGAAGGTCAAAGACTCTGGTAGTCTAGAAAATTTAAATTTTTTATTCGAGTAATCGAATATACTCAAAATTCAAATTAACAAATGCATGTGTCTCGAATATTTTCAAAAAGAATTTGAATGAATCGGATACTAGGATATCGACTTTTTCTAATTGAAAAATGTCGTTTAATGGAATAAGGAATATTCTCATAATGAAGAATCAATCAAATATTTTACCCTAATTTCACAAGAACAACACACACCTTATTCATTTCAAGCAGCAGCTCAGCCGCACCATTGTGTCTTGCGCAATAGTCGCACTCCCACTCAATTCCTTTAGGTAAGGAGAAAGCAAGGGAGGCCTTTGGTCGCAAAATTTTTGGTATGTTCAGGCTCATCGAGTTTAGAAGAAAGCGGGTGAGTCTTGTACTCGTACAATTAGGTTTGCTCCAAGTTCGTGCCATTCTTTGACCAATCCGCGACTTGTCTAGAATAAGTAGCCCAACACCTTACGCACAATTCGATGCAAAAGCATTGCTCTTTCTGATAGCGGTGCTTCCGAAGTGATTCTCTTCGGCGCTCAGATAGTCACGTTGTTTTCTCGTTTTTACCTTGCCCAACTTAAAATTGTTTTCAAAAATTTTCATTCACACCATTGAAGGAGCTTTTTATTAGGTTGTTGCAAAAATAATGTCCGTTTTTCTAGGCCTATATTCCGAACAACTTTTTTTCTTCGAAATTTCTTTTTCGATATGGATTCTGCATATCATAATAAAGCTTTCTTCATGTACTTTCTAGTAGTTGTACAATTAAGCTTCTATCTCATCTGTGAGAATTTCACCAGCATCTCACACAGCTGCCCTAAAGATAAAGACTGGACAAACTTATAGTCTTTCAAAGTAAAACTTTGCAAAACGGACATCATTTTTGCAACAACCTAATAGTAACGGCAGGCAGGGTAAAGCTTTTGCGTGTAGTGCTTTTTCCGCATCTCTCTAGCCAATTCTGATTTTAGAATGTAAATGAGTTGTGATTTCACTAAAATACCATGAAATTTTTGGAACAAATTGTTCGCATCGTTGTAAGAGCACTAAGGCAGTTTTTGTGAATTTCACTCATCGCAAAATAACAACAAGTACAAGAAAGATGAAGAAAAATGCATAGAAGGTGCATGAACTGCTCGTGTTGATGCTCTACGATTCATAAACGGAACTTGAATGTTGCTTGAACCAAAAAATAACTTGTGAAAATTCTAAACATAAGCTATAGAAGAAAGAAGAAAGAACTGCATCGCAAAAGCTTCACTCTATCTGATGGTTAACAGCGCTCTTTCAAAGACATGAATGGAAATTATCAAGAATCAGCCAAGTTGAACGAGGTGGGAACGATGGGTTGGGAACATTGTGGACCGAGCGCGTGGTAGAAAAATCTCTTTGAAAACATAGCTGTCAGAAAGAGTAAAAAAGGTTGTGCAGTAAATGGTAAGTAAAGTGTCGGCCTACTCTTATTCTAAGCAGTTTGCGTATTGGTCTGAAAAGCAGAAAATTCTTCGACTTACCTAATATTTTAGAACCGGATGGTATGTAATTGACGAAACGTATCAACGTATAGCAGTAAAAACATTGGCGCATCATACTGAAGCTCGGTTCTGCTCGGTCCCTGGCCATCCCCTCTGGAATCCTTGGCTGTACTCTCTACACTAGTTCCTGTATC